GTTCATTTACACTGTTTGTTATCAGAGACATCATAAATTTATCAGTGGACAGAAGATTTAAAACCAACTGAACTTTGTGTTTTTAAATTCCCCTCTGAATAGCTAGACAAGAGAAAAATACTTACTGTTAGACATAAAGATAGAGAAAGGGAAACAAACAAACAAAAAAAAAGCAGTGGAGCCTTGTAAAAATTTCTGGAAGTGAGGTGATAATTTAAATCACTTTGAGGCTGGACAAGACAGGTGAGGAAAGTTTGGTGGAATGGTTTTGTGAAGGTCTGACTTTCACACACGCTCGAGCAGGAAACATTCCAAACTCGGGACCTAAATCCTCGCTAATCTTTATGGCCCGGTGGCAGAATGCAAAATACCAGGGCTCCGCTCTGGAGCTCTGAGCCAGCGTCCCTGCAGTACTTGATATCCCAAGCTCACGTGTTAAATGAACTTGAGATTGTTGAGTGTGGAGGCAAGTTATGCCACAACAGCTCAGGTTTAAATTCTCCATGTGGAAATGTTTATTTGCAGTTTTGGAGAGCATTCTGCTTCTTCCTTTACTTCTTATTTTTAAAATCTTAGGACTGCACAAGAACGTCAAGTCTCTGGTGTTTAAGGACCATGTGACTCCTCTGTACTTTGAACTCAGATAAACTTCTTACTGAATGAAGTCATGTGTAAAATGCTTTCCAACAGAGATTATTTTGAACCAAGCCGTACTAAGAAATGCAACAGAATTTCAACACTCATATTTCAGCAGCAAAAAAAGGAACCATTCTTGTACTGAGTGCAGTGCTCTGGGGGGAAGCACCAGATCCCTTCACATAAACAGAACTACACTTGTCCTAGACTATGGAAGTAGATCATGTTTTAGTTAGGGCAATAAAAAAATCATCATACTTCCATATAATCAGACATCAGAAAAAATAGGTTTTGCCTAATCAATGCATGCAACTTTGCTTCCAAAAGGCATCTTCATAAATCTCAGAGTCCCAAGTTTTAATCAGTAAAATCAGTATCAGGTCCAAACTGGCCACGCTGGGATGGATCAGAATTGTTTTTAAGCCTGAAGAGATATCAGGTTTTAGCTAACATTTGGATAAAAAAATGCACAGCCCTGATCATTACGCCTTTTTTCCCTAGGAGCAGAACATATGGCTTGTATCCTGGCTAACTTCCAACCTGAGCAATTACGTACTGACCACATAAGTTTCCCCTGTGGTTTTAACAGGATAAAGCATTCCTCTCCGGTTCCTCCTGTGAACATTTATACTTTGTTGTGGAGCACTATTAAACCGCTACTGCCCTCTGCCCCAAAGACGCCTGCATTTTAGTAATAAGCAAAAAAAAATAATCTTGAAATTATTAATTACAGGGATATAATTATAATTTTAAATATAATTGGGGGGACATGGATCTGTTTCAATCCTTAACACGTTTTGAGTTCCTGATGTTATCCATTAAACATGATCTTCTATATCAGGATGATGTTTTCATGCAATGAAATTGATAGATGAAGATGGTATTTTCCCTAACAACTTCAAGAGTTAAAAGACTTACCCCAAGGTTCATACAGCATATTTAAAATCAAGCATTTCTTCTGAGTATGTGGAACAGCCTATGAGCTCAGGAAGGGCTGCATATTGAAAAAGATTAACATTAGAGAAGATGCAGGCAAGCTTTCTGTGCAAAAACATGGGACAACCAGACAAAGCAAAAGAACAGTTTGGGTATCTTGCTTTTATACCAGGGCATTGACTATTGTGAAGGATATTTTGAAGGTGTAGTCTTTGAAGGATAAAGAGAATGAAACAGAATGAGCTATCCACCACAGTCCACCACATATCCTGAAGATCTCAAAGCACTTTATAATTGATTAGTGCCGATAAGAGGTACTGGAGATAAGCATTAAGAGAGCCATCTTGTAATTAACTACAGAACGAAGCTAGGTACCTGATCAGGTAAAATTCTTCCTCCCAATCAGGATAGCAAACACTGAAATCAAGATGAAAGCTACTAAAAAGGAGAAGTCATTTTGTGTACCTTCATTTCCTATTTCCCAGCCTGAAACCATCTGAATTCCAAATTTCCAACTTATATAAACTATTAACTTCAGCTAAAGTCTGCAGCATTTACTACCTCTGCAGATGCATCAGGATCACTGTGATAAATTAGGCACCCTGAAAGTCAGAAGCCCCTTTAAAATTTCCCCTGTATAGGATTGAAGTGACACTAAGCAGCAGAAATACCAGGAAGAGAGCCATTTAGACCAGTCTATATTTTATCCACTTGGTCAGACTTATAAACTGCTTTGAAGATGACAAATGCTACCAAGCTGTTCAGTATTACAAAGTAAAATGGTGGATGGGAACAGATTTTTTCTACAGGAGAGCTGAATGATGAGTTCTCCTATTAGCTGCTTAATCCACATGCATGTTTATGTATGTGCATATATACATCAGTTTAAAAGATTGTGTAACACATTTTCATCTTTTTTTTCTACGTTTGAAAAAATCATGCAAAAAAAGAAAGAAAAAACCAACTTCCTGCTTTCTCATAAACCAGAATGGTCTGAGAACATGATGAGTGGTCAGCTTTCTTCCATTTTGCTTGGCTTGCACTTTTTGCAAACATCCTTCCTCTTTGCACCCCCAAAATGATCGATTACGGACTGATGTCCTGATGAGAAGCCTCTGCCGTTTATATTCATGGATTCCATGGGATTCTGCTCCCCATCCCTCTCTGCTCGTCAGAGCTGTCAGAGCATTCAGACCGGTGGGAAGGCTGGAGCCAACAGAGGCAGAGTGAGCAGCCCTTGTCACTGCGAGCCCCGCAGGCTCACAGGGACAGTGCTGGCAAAGAAGCCAAAGGCTGATGCAGTGCACATGGAAATGCACTTGGGTTGTGAGAATACTGTTCCAAGTATTCTCAAGTATTCCATCAAACTGGGTACTTCGGTAGTTGACTCCCATCCTGTAAGGATAAGACACTATTAATTGAGAAAACTGAATATTTGCTGGATTTGTGGTCAGGCCAAACCACCGCCAAACAAGCAAAAGAAGGCACGTTTTAGAGGGAGATATAAAATTTTAAGTGTCTCTGGTGGCATCCCTTTAAACACACTGAAACAGAGTTCAAGCCATTGCCTCCATCAACAAGCATAAAATGGGATAGATCTCTGGTGTGCAACATTGCCATCATGTGGCCATTCCAGCTCTGCAAAAATACCAGCAGTGACAGTTACCAGATATTGCCCCATATTTGCAGCTTTTTAAATCTTCTTTAATAATATTGGCAACCTACAGGAGAACTGGCAAGGTAGTGATAACTCTCTTATAATGTCCCTCTACAATGAAAAAGATTCCCTTCTTCAGACCTGCTGTTTTTCATGTTGGGTAGCAAAGGCAATTTTCATTTTCTGAGACACACCACTGCCATGATTACGTAGCAATGCATAGTACAGAGTATAATTGAACATCAAAAATGTACAGACACATCAAAAATGAGAAATGGAGCACCCTTGATGTCAAAAAGGCAATCTTTAGAAGTAATCTGAATGAGAACAGCACTACGGCCTTGATCAGGAAAGAGCTCCAACACAGGGAAATACATGGAAGTTGGCACAGAGTCAGGAGTGGAAAACAAAGTGAATTAATCAAATTAGTAATTTAAGAAGAAAGCAAATTACTGACAGTGAGAGGGCAAAAAGCATGGAATGCAGAATCAAGCTGTAATAAAATATGCAGATGGAAAAGTTGTTAATAGTCAGAAAAGTAGTAACAGAATTAAACCGGACCCAGGGATGATAAGTGGCTCAATTGGAGCAGCAGTGAGGAAAAATAATTATCTGCCTCAGCGCTTGAGCCAAAAGCTGCTAATCTACACAAAACTTGTGTTTGCACTCATCTGGAACCCTGCCCAAGCAAAGCAGGCATGATTTAGCTTACTCACGAAACGGCTCACTCCTTGCTTGAATTACAGCCTCAGTGAGGGACATACACAAACTTCTTAAAGAAGGGACAAACTTGTTGCCTGCATTTGTGAGCAGAAGTGTACAACAGGAGCTTTCTGCCCAGCTGGCACAATAGACAGATACACACAGAAATAAGACTCACCTGGAAACAAATTCAGGAACATATTCCTTAAAACAACATCAACCTTTCCGCTATAAAAACCTTGTATCAAAACAGCACTAAAAAAGAAAGCAAACTTAATCAAGATAGGAAACAAATATTGACAGGCAAAGAAAAGAAGCTTAACTACCAGAGATGGCTGCCCGTACAGAAGAAAGTCCTGTTTGTATTCTCGTATCCTAGCAATTGGCACCTGTAAACACCTAAAGGAGCCTGCCTGCCATCACCATTACGACTGGAGCAAAGTTACCACTCTTGGGAAAGATCCTTCTATGGATGAAGCACCAAAACCAGGGAGGCTGGTAACTAGTAACTTTCTTCTTCACCATATAATTTTGAAAAGAAAGCTTGCAGTATAACTAAAGTGGAAACTCTGAACCAATCCTAAAAAGCCAGTGAAGGAAATCAGATAAATGTTTACTGTTACCCTGGGCTGGAGCTGCTGAGATGGTAATTATACTTTTTTTTTTTTTTTGGTGGTGGTGTTTACTTGTTTATTTTGCCAGATTGCATAAGGCTCCTCTGCTAATCAATTCCTGAAAGGCATGGCTGTTTTTATTATGCAGTTTCTCCTGTCTAGGGTAAGGGGGCAGAAGCCAGAGAAATACTTTTTACTCATGTTTTTAGCAAAAAGGCTAGTTTGTGAAAACTGAAAATGCTCCCAGGCTGCAAGAGAGTTTTGTTCTCTGTGTCATCGACCAAGTTTCTATACGCTGCTACAAGTCTCAGTACATTTGTGAAGAGACTATCCCCTATTAGTTTTTTAGTTTAAGTACAAAACAAATTGAAGGGTTGAATTAAAATATTACTTTCCTTTTTCATTCAGGACTGTCAGCTATATAGCACATAAACAGGGAAATTTTTCAATAGAACATGAATCCAGGAGAGAAAACGATTTTCCAAGAGTATCTGACAAATCAGGGGACTGTGGTAAAGCCCTATTGCTGGCAGAGACAGAACCACATCTGTGCTAAGTGTCCCTACCACATACGGACTGGTGAAGAAGCGAGAATCCCTCATGCAGAATTTCACAGGGTCTTTGGCTTCCCAGACAGATCAACAGCAACTCTCCAAAACAAACACCTTCTCTTCTATGAACTGAGGAATTTCTCAGGCACAGTAGTCCAAAAAGGCCATGCTACAAACTGTACTGACCAAGGCAGCCATCCAGAATCTATGCTGTTTGAGGTGGGTGGTTATCTGGATACAGTTACAGATGTCTATGAAAATATCAGATGCATTATCGTCTATTCAAATTACTCTCCTTGTAATGAGGCTTACCACTGCTGCGTAAGTAAAATCTACAATTTCTTGCTGAGGTATCCAGAAATCACGCTCTGCATCTATTTCTCTAAGCTTTATCACACTGAGGACCGTTTCCCCACCTCCGTATGGAACCGTGAAGCTTTGCGGAGCCTCTCCAGCCTGTGGCCTCAAGTGACGCTGCAGAGACTGCCTGGGGGAGCGTGGCATTACCTCCTCTGCAATTTTGTGTACGGCTTCCCAGGGTCAACCCTTTATCATCCAACTCCACCATCAAGAACCTTAGCAGATGGACAAAATCCATATCAAATTAACAACTTAACAGGAATGAAAACGAATTTTAGGAAAGCCTTTCCACAAGTGATGCAGGGAACACCTGCTGTGCAGCGGAACTTAAAGGTCTTTTCTTCTCATAGCCCAGCCTCCCAACAGCCTTTCCAAGCAATGAAAGGCAGCCTGCTACCTCTGATGTCTCAAAGCCACTTGGTCCTTTTCCCAGGCATGTTTCTGCCCTTTCAGAGGGAACATCTATACCCCAGACCTAAAAATATCATAAGGCATTTAAAAATGCCAAAGGAATAATTCAATTGAACTCATAATTCTGAAATGTTTCCAAGCGGCAGACACCTACTCTGAAGATGATGGAAATCGAACTGCTTTCAGACTGTAAAACTGAGATCACAGATGGCACAAAAAAAAGCCACCAATAAAGTCACCTCCTACAGAAGTTAACCCACAGAATAACTGTTGGTCTCAAATAACCGATTATGAAGAAAATATGCTTGTATTTTAGGCCTATACCCTTGAAACATAAACCCATAGCAGTAAAACTAAAACCTCAGTACCTTCTGATTACCTCCTGAGATTTATTTATTTGTTGCCCTTAAGCCAATTTCTACCAGAAAAATATAAACAGTCCACGAACTACAACTACAACTACATCTGGATTGCAGCTGCCCAGCTGAGGCAACTTTGGTGGAACACATGACATATCCTAAATTTCCCCTCTGTCAAGAAGGTGGTTCTGCAGGTAGGGCTGATACATGAACAAAGTTTTCCCACTAGCTGTTTCCTTAATGACAGGTTTTATATACCCATATATATATGTTGGAGAGGGTTCAGAGAAGGGCAATGAAGCTGGTGAAGGGTCTGGAGAATAAGTCTTATAAGGAGGGGCTGAGGGACTTGGGGTTGTTTAGTCTGAAGAAAAGGAGGCTGAGGGGAGACCTTATTGCTCTCTACAACTGCCTGAAAGGAGGCTGTAGAGAGGTGGGCGTTGGTCTCTTCTCACAAGTTACAACCAGTAGGACATGAGGAAATGGTGTCAAGTTGGGCCAGGGGAGGTTTAGGAAAACATTAGGAAAAAAATTTGCACTGAAAGGGTTATCAAAGACTGGAACAGGCTGCCCAGCGAAGTGGTTGAATTGCCATCCTTGGATGTATTTAAAAGCCATCTGGATATGGTGCTCAGGGACATGGTTTAGAAGTGGACCTGGTAGAGTTACATAACAGTTGGACTTGATGAGCTTAGACCTATTTTCCAGCCATAACGATTCTATGATTCTATGATATGTGTGTGTGTACATGTATTTTTTTTCTACGGCTGCTGCCTTCCATTAAGAGGAACGTCATAAAGCTGTGTAAAATTCTAATTGGTAAGATATATCTAATAGGATAATATAGATAACACATCTACACAGTCAAAATATAACCTGAAAAAAAAAAAATGTTCCTATGATTTAGAGCACTGTTTTCACTTTGTGATTCCATATATTTGTTATTATACTAAAGGTATATACTAAAGGAATGGGGCAACTGAAGTCAATAATATGGTTTTTTGCCAGCATACAGAAGTTCCTTCCCAGATAATGTCAATCGTGAATAAACACACTGGCTAATTTTGTAAAGTCAGTGCTTCCGCTCCTTTTTTTACTCTTTTTGTGGCCACAGCTATTATGTGAGTAAAAAAAAGAGGCCATTTCCCAGTGTGACCTTAAACACCCTTCACTTCAGCAGGGGTGATTCCATTTGGAAGCTCAAACTTTTTCAGCGTCTCTTATGACTAAGAGAGGCAGAAATGTGGTAGAATCCACCCGATCCCTTGCTTTTACAACGCCTAGGTGCTTTTTTAGGAAAGCTGTCTTGAATTAGATATTAGTTCTGCGCTTTCCGATAAAATGCTAAATCCCAAGAAGTGGACCATGCTGTAGCACCTGCGTGACTATTTGTAAACACGCTGAAAACAATTGTATAGTTTGTTGTTGCTTTTTTTTTTTTTTTTAAAATCTTGTTTTCACAAAGTGGTGGTTTGAGCATGGGCTTCCAAGTTCAGAGCCAAACCCCGTACATCTACCAGGGGGCACACGTTATGCGGGCAACGCCGCCGTGCGCCCCCTGGCTTGGTTACCCCAAACCGGCCTGTGAGAGGTCCTGCCTCGCTCGTACCCGTCTGAAAACGGGACCGAGTTTGATTCCGCACGGCATCGCGTATTGCCTCCGGGTCCGCAGGCAGAGCTCGCTGCCGGGGCCTGAGAGGAGCCCGCACACAGGCGCCGCGCCTCGCCGGACTCCAGAGCAGCCGCTGGGCACCGCCGGCTCAGACGCTACACGCCCCACGCGTC